GATGGGGTACACTGAGAAAAAAGGGATACAATTAATAATTGCTATCACACAAAACATTTAAATTAAATACTTTAATATATTTTTATAAAAATGATTGGTTTGATATAATGTAAGGCTTTTATAAAGACTTCACAAAATAGAAGATACTATATAAATATCAAGCGATACACATATATAAGTGTCTATTTTAAAAACTTAAAACTAGTATATAATTGTTAATCCAAACAGGGAGTAGAAGTGGGATGAATATTATAAACCTTTGGGCTCATCGGTATTAATAAAATATAATAGTTGAAATTGATCCGTAAAAAATCCTATAAATATCAAAATGTAAGACAGCCTTAAATATCATTAGAATCACAGAAAATTGCTAATACTTTAATAGAAAAAAAATTTCTATTATACTTTTATTAAAAATTTAAGAGCTGTTCATACTTGGTGTCGTACTTAAAATAAATGAAAATCATTTTTTTTTTGTGCGAATAAATGTTACAACAAATCTCTTGTAAATTTTTTCCAGTGCATCGCCTCTCTTCTCAGAATAAAGTTTGGCACACAAAGAACTTTCAAGTCGTCGTTGCACTTCCCTCCAACTAAAACTAAATCCGAAACCGGGAAGAGAGCGCAGCAATTTCCAAGCATCATCATTTGCCACTTGTCTCCCCGTTGCTCCCTCTTCTCCACAGATTCTGCACTTTTTCCTCCGCTGTTCGCCTGTTACAATTTTAAGCTATTTTTATTGAAAATGAGCGATATTCTCGGCCGGAGAAAGAGCGCCAGAGATGCCGAGATGCAGAAGTTGATGAAACTGTGTTAAGTGCATACTTTGGGTTTTCACGATAGAGTTTGCAGGCCCCCGCTCCCCAAAATCCCCTCAGGAAACTTCATTCTTGAAGTTGGTTTCAGGATGGCTTCATTGTCACTGAGCTGAGCAGAGAGAACTTTACTCCCGAAGAAAACTCAACAAATTTGAATGATTCCCCCCATCAGATATACGGACGCAGTCACATAGTCGCCTTTGTATATATACTTATATTCCCAGAGTGCAATCTTCAAGACCCCACATTTTCCCGGTTTTCCCCCCTCTCTCTCTCTCTCTGTGTCGTGATTTTCTTTTTTCAAACAAAAACTGCGCTTATTACGCCAGCCCCGATGCATTAGAAGCTTCTCTTCAGAACTGCAGAGGGGAGAAAATTGGGGAAAGGGGCCGTTGCTTTTTAAGCTGCTCACACTCAACCCAGCGAAACTCAGTTCGCACACACAGCTGCCAAGTGGCCGAGACTAAAAACCGAGCACCGAAACAGCAACAGAGAAACAGATATGGGGACGGAGGCAATGGGGCCCTATGTTCTGTCAGTGGATTTATATACAGTGGATACTACGTAGAGTGCATCATCTCTAAGAAAAATGTATGGAAAAAATGTATTATATTAGGGTTAACAAGGGTCCACCAATTTTAGATTTATCGGTTTCATATAATCTAAATACTACTACAAACTAAAATAAGACATCCTTAAAATATCTTTAATATTTCTAAAATTTAGGGAAAAATTTTAATATTAATAACTTCCATTAACATCTTACAAGAAAGATACAAGGAAATTTTCAGGACTTACGAAAAATCCCAGACTTTTTACTGAAATTACCTAGGTATAAGCCAAATTTAAATACATTTATGTATCTTAACATTAATACATTTTTGAAAGAATGTGTATTATACATTTTAATATTTTTCAATAAGTTGTTAGCTCAAACCTTTCAGATATACTTTTAAAGTACAAATAAAACCAAGGAAAGATATAACAATATTTTTTTTTTAGACAACTGGAGTTTTTCATATATTATGTATATATTATATTATATTATATATAATGTAGTATTATATAATCCCCTTAGAATACCACCTAATTTCCTGGTTCTACCCAAGATGTTTTTCCTGTAAGAGCTTCTGCTTCAGCTGCTGTTTCTGTGACTGCATCTCGCCTCATTTCGATTCATTTGCGCTTGTCTCTGAGCTAACTGCCCCTTCTCGTTCCGGAGTCCCCTGAATCTCAGCCTCGTTCCTGGACTTCCTTTAACTAATGTGTGTATGTGTGTGAGTTTGGGTTTCCCTGTGGCTTTTGTGTTCCTCAATTTCCAGTTTTCGCACATCTCGCCCCGTGCGAGAACCGAGTACCGAGAACCCAAATCGGAGAACCCAGAACTGAGAACGGAGCAACGAGAGAACCCGAGAGCTGCGTTTCCAAGCAAAAATATATATAGACGAAACGCCTCCAATCAAATTCGTACCCCCCGATTTCTGTGAGTGGAGCGAGCTGCTGGCCATTTCTGAACGCCTGTTCTCAAACGACTCAAACTGAGAGAGAGATAAAAGCATGCTGTGCAAGATGATGCTTCTGTGTTGATAAGGCCCCCCGATTGTCGCAGTGTGTGTATGTGGAAATTGAGCACAATTCCTATACGCACCAAGTATCTCATGGATAGCCCGCCACCTACTTATGTACTTTGCGATTCATCCGTAGGCTGAGATTGAGATTGAAGCCGGGGTACTAGGCATGGCAAAAGAAAAATACTTCTTTGAGTGAATTATGAAGTTGTCTCTGGCCATTACGTGGGTGGTGGTTTTCCTCCAGTCCCCGAACCCACCATCCCGACCCTCTGCTCTTTAAGTCTCGATTTATTGTTGTACTTAAAACTGAGCCACTTCCCTGCTAGACCCCTCTTAAAATGGAAAAAAACAAGACAGAAACAGAAACAGACGACTTTGTATGACGAAGAAAGAGTTTTCATCATCGGGAAATGCACCGAAACCGTTAGGTGGATCATAAAATAGAGATGAAAAGCTTCGAAATGCTTTTCTGTCGTAGCTGTAAATGCAACTGACACACAAAGGCTGAAAGACGCACCGCGATCACGAGCTGAAAATGGTTGTGGCTGTGACTGTGACTGTGGAAATGGAAATGGAAATGGAGCTGTTGATGCCGGCCAAATGCAAATGCATTCTTCTGGGCCACTCTAATGATCACCACGATGACAATGATCATAATGATGCGGCGTTTGATGACGGACCCGAGCCAATGACTCGCTGTTTGGGGGAAAGGTCTGGAAGATTCCAATAAAATCTGAGCTTGACATCGTTTATCACTTGATCTACGGGTCATATAAAAACACTTTTTATACGGTGGAAAAAATATTATTAAACAAAACTTTTTGTTATTAAATAAAAAAAAAAATATAATTTAATTTAGAAATGTAGTATGACAAAACTAATATTTCAAATTGGATATTAAATATAAGACATTGATTTAATATGTATATGTGCCTACAAAAAATATTTTCAAAATATTTTACTTATTAAATTCAATGTTAAACCATTTGCAAATGCCACAAAACAGTTTTGATGCCCAAGATGAGCATATGGATACGTCTCTTATAAATATATCCCCCCAATTTGGCTTCGGCAACTTTAAAATGCAAATAAGGAAATATTAGCCCATCCAGTTATGACCCCCGAAAATGTCTCATCTGCATGTCCGGCAATTTGCAGTTGCTCCTTTGACATCCAACTATGGCAACTCGTCCGTTTGCAGATGAGGCTTGCAGATGAAGCCACCCGATAGATGGTCCCATCTGGAGTTCAGCCTGGACTTTCACTTCGCTGGCACACAAATTATAGCTAATTATGCAGCATCTTAGCCGAGATTGGGCAACTCCTGGCCGGCAAGTCTGCAATTTGGCCATGTGGTTGGGGGCTAATGCTGAGGCTAAACAAAAAACTGATGCTGGGGCAAATCTTGGGCCGATCTGGTCATGTGGGTTTTTCGCCATGAGCCAGAAAGGCAAACAAAGCTTAGGCCGTAATAACTTTGTTTGAGCCGCGCTGCAGTTTGAGGCCATTATAACAAACATTTTTGTTTGCAAAATATTCCGACTTTCATTTTCAGTCAGAGCCTGCGTTGAAAGTTGATTTGCAGATACACTGTATCTCTTGGACTGATCGCGTTTTGCTGTTACTTGCCGTTACCCGGCTCAAGGTCAACCCGCCTGAAATTGTTGCTAAGTTAAAGAATGCGTTGACAATATTTTTTGTTCAACTTAATTAAAAGGCAAACAGCACAACTCGCACAAAACAAAGCAAAAAAATACTAGGAATAGAAAAAAACATGAAAACCGAAACTGATAAAAGGTTTTATCAGCCAGCCAGAGCGGAGACATTAACCACGATAATTATACAAAACATGTGAGCCGTTGTGTGGACCTGCAGACAATTGGAAACAGGCCATAAAGCAAAAGCAAAGTCGACCGCAGATACAGATACAAATTGTATCTAGTGCACGGGTGATAAGCGGATGGGCCACGTGTGGAATGTGGGGCGCAGACTATCTGTAGATAGATACGTATCTTCTAGCGGCAGTTCAAGGAAATGTTCCTCAGATACGTTTTAGTCAGATGCGCAGATACAACGCCCCAACTATCGAGGCAAAGACCAATTTGCAAATACTTGTAGCGCGAACACGAAACTTTATCTCGCTGCTCTTGGAACGGCGATAAAAATCCAATTTTGATAAGCCCCTAAATTATGTATAAGGCAAAACGATCCGATCCCAAGGGTTTATCTTTCGGTTTTGCACTGCCCCAACTTATCAGGCCGTCTTTATCTCAGTCATTTCACAAGGCCATATAAATAAGTTCTTCGCAATAATTTACCTAATTATAGGAGGTTTTATTACTGTTTAAAATATTTATTTTCGTTTTATGGCTTTTATATTAACAGAAAGGATATATTAAGATGGCGTACCTTAAATACCCTTTTTAAGAATTTTTTTTAATTTTTAATATTTGGTTTATATGGTAAATTAGTAAAAGATAATTTAAAAATTGAGTAAAACTACTAAAACTTTTCTTAGTAATAAAAAAATACTTCGAATTTATTAGTAATAACTTCTGTTTTTGAAAGTTTTAGATATCAGACCGCATAGATATATTCTTTTGACTGGCAAAAAATATGGAACTGTCTGCAAGGGTAAAAAAGAACTGACGGGTTAGTTGGAAAAGGAATGGGTTTCCGTCCTTTGGCACAGCATCACCCCAACAGGTTTCGATCGGTCATCCGGTCCTTAACATCCTCCTCCTCCTCGAATGTTCGATTCTGCTCCCGTTGCCGCTCCTGTCACCAGACGGCGTTTCCATTGCACTTCGCCCCCAACTCCTCCCTGCGGCAAAGAGCGGTCATCATCATCGTCATCGGCTAAACCATCGATGTGTGTGGCCCAGTGGAAGGGGGGCCTTAAAACTGGGATGGGAACCCTGGATGGGGACTTGAACTGGGGACTTGGGCTCAGTTGTCGGCGCCGCTGGAATGTTGTTAGTTATAAAATGGCCACAAAATCATAACGCGGGCGTGGGCTGCCACTGGACTCTGTCGCACTGCTCTTTCTTCAGGCATTGCGAGAAAAGTCGAGTACAAGCAATTTTAAATTATATTTTTATTATTTCCGATTAAATCTTCAATACCAGAAAATTCTTGATGACTTAAAATACGTAATACTTTAACAAATTTAATACATTTAACAATCATATATGATTTAAAAAATTTTTAGTTGACTCATAGGTTTTTGGTACTTTGAACAGATATAAGGACGACCTTTATTCTTAAATCATATTTCCAAACATATTCCACTACTGATAAAGATTTTAATCAGGAATTTTCTTTCTCTGTGGTCCCAAAACCCCGAACCTGATATTACCGATGACGAGTTGCTGCCTCTGTCGAGTTCTGTGTCCAGAATATACATATGTCCGAGACTCTCTCCCACAGCATCCACGCATTTTTGGATGGTTCGTCTGGGGGGTTTTTTTAATGGAACCCGGTCCGCTGGACTGAGTGTGAATTGAAATGTATTTTTTACATACCCGTACATGTGTTCTATGCCAGTCGATTGGATCTCGAAAATCAAATCAAAACTCGTAGTCGTTTTATGGCTTTTTAGAAACTCTAGGAACTCGTTTTGTTCGGTTTGGTTCTGTTTTGTTTTCCCTCGGTCTCTGTTTGTTGTTCTCGTTATTATTATTATTTTTCTATTCCCATTTCTATGTGTCGGCGGCGGCGTTGGTGGCTCGCTTTGAATAATGATGATAAGGCCCCAGACTCGCCTTTCGATCCAAGCCGATTCCGAACCAATCCGTCCATCCATCCATATAGCCATCCATCCGACTGCTCTCTCTCTCTCTTGGCGGCTTGATTATTGATTTATTGTCTGCTTTTTTGGGTCTGTGTCGCACAGGTAAACGAGAAATCGTCACGGATACGCAAAACGGTCAGCACACCGAAATGTATCTCGGGGTTCGCTTTTGTATCTCCGGCGACTATGCAGATACATTTTTGAAGCGCACGCTTCAGCATTTCTGATGTTGTTGTCATCAATTTAACAACAACGACATCGTCGGCCAACAAAAGAGACCAAAAGAACTCAACTGAACCCACCGAAGAGACGAGAAAAAGAAAACATTCTTCTCGTCTTGATCCCGAACGTTCTCATAATTTTTTTGCCCCCCCCATACCATCCATACTATACCATAATATACTATACCATACCCATACCCATACCATTTGGCCATTGTGCGACCGCGGACTGTGAGAAAGATTTTATTTCGTTCAAGTGGTTTTTGATTTAACACCAAACAGCCAACCAAAGAGTGGAAAATATTTTAATGATGCGTCGTCGACGACGCTGCAACTGAAAAACAAAAAACAAAAAAAAAAAGAAGAGGAGAAATAAATGGAAAACAAAAAAGATTTCTAACTTGTTTTTCGGTGGCCTTTCTTTTTTCCGCTTCTTCAGAGCCGTTGTTCTCAATTCATTTGTGGTTTGATTCGGAAGACATTCGTTCGATTGATTAGCTCGCTGGGAAAGCAAGCGATCACTTTCGAATCGAGGTCGTATTATATGGGCTGTGTCACCCCTTTTCTTTTTCAGGGGGGTGGGGAGGGGGTTTGAATTCTGTGCTTCCGCTCCGGAAGGGTTCAACTCGAGAGCGAAGTACTGCACTCGACAAGCTGCCAATGAGGTCCTACTCTTGCCCAGGATCCTGGTTCCTGTCCGATGCGGTTTAACATCTGTCATGGCTGCTTCCTTCCTGGGACCAGGCAAAAATGAAATAATAAAAAACAACGACAATAACAACTGAAACCGCATCAAGGGTTTTGGACTTAACCAGGCAAAATATTGAGCAGCTTTTATGAGGTATTTTAACAATAATTGACATACATTTATGACCATAAAGGAGGGGAGAGTAGAGCTTATTGGTTCACTGATCAAGTTGGTCAACTTTAAAAGGAATCGATAAAAAACATAACTTTCATAATATTAGGTGTTAATCTAACTCTAAAGTATGAAACTATCGAGTTGGCATATTTTTGTTAATTTATATGTTACGTACATGTTTAAAATATGGTAAAACTATAACCAATTCTATAATGATTCATAGGTCATGATTCATTTTTTAAGGAAAATGTTATTATACATGTCAAGAAAACAAATGAAAATGTTAATTGTAATAATAATATGATAATAATATTTATAAATATTTAATGGGTAAGCAATATCATCTGAAAATATACATATTTGCTGTTCATATTACAATCATTCATTATGTTTTCCAATACATTACACAAATTAGGGTAAATCCATTTCGCCTTATTGCATTCATAATTTTCTGCAGACATATTTTAGCATTAAAAGCTGGAATATATTTCACAACTCAAGTATGTAAAAACCTCTCCACGGGTCTCTCTCTGCTGGCTTTTGATATAAAGCCGACTGCTTAATTCACCCCTTCCCATTACGTCTGTTTCCCCCCTAACTCGATTCCCCCTCACGACTCCTTGAACTAATGTGACACTAATCATGTGACCTCGAGTGCCGCTGGCCACATTTTTATGACCGCTTTGCACGCTGTTTACACACGACAATCGTCGATCGACCAAAGTTTTCCAACATTCTCGGAAAAGAAGAACAGAACGGATGACGGAAAGAAAAGAAAATGCGATCCATTCATGAAAGAAATGCCATTCTAATGCTTTATTCTCGTTGTGCCTCTATTGTGGCACCTTTTCATTGGGTTCTGCGAGGGGAAATCAACAAACCAAGAATGGAAAAATGTGTTAAAGGCCAGAAAATGGGACTGAGAAGGTTTCTTTATTGCGTGGGTCTGCAGAAGGAGAGAAAACTAGATGGGAGTTCGATGACTACAGAGAGAATAAATAGGAGTCTTTTACTCAAGAATCTATAAATGGCATTAATAACTTTGAACGCTTTCTTTCTTATAAGGATAAATAATATTTACTAACCTTAACGTGTTCAAATTCGAAATATATTTACTTTTAAGATTTTAAAAAGATATAACTTATAATATTTGTTTTTACTTTTAAAAAATATTTGCTTAGTACCATTTTTTGAAAATTATGTTGAATAAGTTTTTATTTTAAGTTGTTTTATGCTCATTTCTTTTTTAAAAATTTAAGAAGTATATATTGTAGCTCCCTTTTTCCTGTGTAATATTGCATACTCACCTTTCGTGTTTTAGTTGCCTACTCAAAAACCTATAACGCGTGTCAAGCAACCAATTAGTGCAGCGAGTGGGAGAGAGATAAAGTGCGGGAGCGAGAGAGACCGAAGGAGAGGTGCGCATGCGCGGCCTTTTGTGTCCTTTTATAGGGGTTGAATGATAACAGAACAGCGAGATCTCCTTAAACTGGTGACGCTGATGAGCCGCAAACTGCGCAGGAAGCTTCTCGCTCTTTCCAGCTCTCCTTTGCCCCTCGCGATTGACAGGCGGCATTTAGGGGATATTGTCGGGACACATTTATATATAGGTAGGATCCCGAACCCCTGGAGAATCGAGGATCAAGAATGGAGTGTGTGTAGGCAGGAGACGACGCAGCAGGACGCGCTCCACAAAATTTCATTAAACATCTGCCCGGCTCATCATCAACCTTCTTACCTTTTTTCTTTTTCGTCGTCCCGATGAGGACATGTGCGATTTTAGTTATTGAAATTTTTACTTGTTTTGTCCTGTCTCTATGCATTGTGCATTGAGTATTTAATTGCAGATAATATCGACAAAACAAAACAGCAGGCGGACGACGGAGGCCCGAATCAACAGCTGAAGTGCCCGGAAATGCATCTCTGGGCAGAAAGGGGAGTCCCCCTCGGTCTCCTTTCTTCGCTCTGATCTCCTGGATTCCCCAGCTATCCTGTCGCCCCTCTTGACATTCGTTTTGTCTGCCGTGGAGGCTCGAGCACGTGTCAATAATTGTTCAGATGCCGAATGGAGCTCGCAGGTCCTCGAAGAATCAGCTGTCGTTTGGGTGGGGGAAAGGTGAACAACAAGACAGTTGAAACCATACAACTTGCCCAATTTTAATTCAGGGAGATGATGATGGTATAAGCTACACAAAGAAAGCATTGTTCTGTAATAGGGTAAGCATGGCTTGGAGTATATGGGGTCAGATTTTGGAACACATTGCTGTAAGGTTTATGAAAACATCTTTGGAAGGTATCGGAAAATAAACAATATTATAGAAACCTAAGTTGACATAAGTGATATAAATAAGTATTATTTACCAATACATAGATAACTTACATCGGTCAAAAATTTTTTATTATTAATATAATTTATCTAAAAAAGTATCAAAAGTCTTGAGTAGAATCCAGTCATTTAATTACATAATTTAATGTGCCTATACAAATTATAGATCAATGAATTGTATAAAGTATCTTTATTTAGTTTTAAAACTTTTACAATATATGTTACTTATACTTTTAAATTAACGACTTAAAATTTAAATAATTAGCCTTTAATTGTCACATAATATTTAATGCTATCCATTTGGGCGCAATTAACAAAAAAGTGTTGTTTGGTTTTTGGTCGATAAAAGTGATATATAAAGTAATAAATTGTAAAAGAGCAATAAATTATAGTACATAAGCATCTAGGATTTTCAGTAGCTTTTCCTAACTTACATTGGCATCTGTGATCCCAACTACCACTCCTTTAACTCAGTCTGATGTAAATCACCACCAGCTATTAATTTCTCCTAAGTGTGTCTTTCTAATTAAATCGAAAATAGCCATTCGATTGATATATTTACGCAGCTCAAGCCTCCGCACATCGCGGATTTGCGTTTGGCAAGATCTCCGGGCCAACAAATGCAAATTAGTTGCGCACTTGGTCAACAGTTAACTCATCATCGCCAAACAACTTGCAGCTGCTTCTTCTCCGAAAAGCTAACGGCAAAGCTAAAGCCAAACGGCAAAGAGAAGCCCGCAAAGAAGCTAATGTAATTGTGTTTGTAAATGCCATAAAGTTGGCAACACTTGCTGTGCTGTGAATATATTTGCCCACCTAAGACCCCCCCCTCTCACTTTTCACCGCCCACTTTTACCCCCTGCCTAACCCACCCGATATTACCCCCTTTTACCGCCCACTTTTGCCCCGCTTTTCCGCCCCCTTTAAGCCCCCGTCCGCCCCCCTCAACGCTTGCAAATGAAGTTCACTAGATGGTCAAGACGATAATGTTGGCGAGCGCATTTGCCAAGTCATGACTGCTGCTGCTGCTGCTGCTCTGATGTTGCTGCTTGCCTCTGATGTTGCTGCTGCCCTGACACCGCAGCAACATCAACATCAGCAACAGCAACACAGGCGAACGAGTTTCTGTTGCTTTTCTGTTGGTTGCTCTTGTTGCTCTTGTTGCTGTCCATTTTGTCGCCATCGCAGTGCCCTCAAAAAAAGAAATAGTTGGAAATCAAATCAACAACAAAAGTAAAGCAACACCAACAGCAACTGTCCAGTGGAAAATCGGGGAAAACCGAAGCTGCTTATACACTTGATTTTTCATTTTTTAGAGCTCAGGAAATTAAACTTAAATGGAATCTAATTTGTTAATAACAATTACTAAAAATGTGTTTTCTCTATATATTTTTTTAGGGTATAACAATTATTTTAGGATAAAAAAAATAATAATAAGTAGCTATAAGTTACATAATATTTTTAAAAAGGTACTTAGCAAGCACACATATTTCCACATATTTATTTTAAATTGATATATAATAATCTCTAAGACAGATAGATAAATAGATTAATGGAATACAGATAAACAGTATGAAACTTTAATACTCCAAAATAACATAGAAAAATAGAGAGCCTGCCATTTATTTTAAAATTAAGACAGAAATTTTTAACTGAATATATCAAATATAATTTTTTTTTTAATTTTTTAAGTTATCTTATAGTTGTTTAGATTATTTT